TCCTCCTCCTCCTCCTCCTCCTCTTCTTCTTCTAATTGGTGGAGTAGCCGTGAACTGAGGCGTGGCTGAAGGGGGAGGAATGCTCTCACTTTGAGTCTTCTCCAAAGAGTGGATTGACCATCCAGACTCCATAAGGCTGCAGCTGCAGAGTGCTTGGCCTTGGATCCATTCCACAGATGGAGAACTGGCCTCCCCATCCCCTAACGTGCATGATGGTGAGAGAGGCAGTATCTCCACTCTCACATCCCAGTCCTCACCATGGCCTGCCAGGGATATAGAATAAATGTCTGTGAATATATTCCTGCCTGAATGTAGACTGTCTTAGAAACATTTCGTTCCTTTTAGCTGAGGCATTTCAGAAGTGCGTAAAAATGATGTTTATATAATATGAGCATCACACATACCTCAAAGGAGCATTAAAGCCAACCCTGAGAATGGAATGTGTTAGCCAAGCATGTGAGACATGCCAAGCTCCATTGTCTATGCCAGACTGGGCCTCTTCAGGACAAGAAGGAAAATCCTCCAAAAAATCCTGGGGAGGGCTAGAGGGGCAACTTACCTACTTTACAATCTTGCCCAAGACCACAAACACCATCACAATGAAACTTCAGGCGCCAGGGAATTCTGTGCAGCAAACCTCATGGGATACTTGTCACAGTAATACTTCCCTGATGCTGAAATGGTTGGTCCTCAAGGGGTACAAATACCCACTTAAAGCTAGAGCCAGTACTCACTGGCTGGTTGTAGCTCCTGGGCAAGTGTTTAAGTTACTTTATACATTGCTGTGACAAAATGCAAGAGGGAAGTAACTTAAGAGAGAGAGGGTTTATCTTGGCTCACAGTTCAGGTTGCCATCCTTCACTTCTGGGAGGTCCTAGGGGCAGGTCCCACTGGTCACATTGCATGCACAGTAAGGAAGCAGAGAGCATCAAGTGTTATGCTCAGCTGCCTGTCTTCTTTTTGTTCAGTCTAGGAATGAGCCCACAAAATGGGGCCGCCCACAATGGGCAAGCCTTCTCACCTCCATGAACAGTAGTCAAGAAAATCCCCCTCGAGCCTGCCTGGAAACCCTTAGCTCAAGTGAACCTAGGTTCTATCAGGTTGACACCCCTGACCGTTATAGCTGGTGAAGCCAACTTAACCCAGACTTCGGGGTCCAACCACAACCGCATTCCCATGATGGCTGAGACCCACACCCAACAGCACAGCCGCTTCAAAGACTGCACAGACCTTTGAACTCCTTCTCAAGATCCACAGGTTGCTGATGGAGTGTTCTGCCTACAGAAACACTACCTGGCTGTAGGAAGAGGGCCAGGATGTTCTGTGCTGAAGCCATCTGGCAGTGGAATGTTACTTGTTTACGGCTTCCAATTTCAATCTGAGTTATTTTTGACAGAGCGGCTGCACATGGTGTCAGCTTTCAGGGCCATGGTGAAGAATGTCTTAATTTAATTGTCTTTTTCGTGTTAATTCTGTAATTGCCTTCCAACCACAGAGCTTGGTAGAATGAGGGACATGAAGTACTCACCGAGGCTGCTGGCAGGGAAGGACATTTGGGAATGTTTTCAAGCATTGATGGGTAGATGTGGAGCCCTGTATTGCCAACTGGTTCTTTAACATATGCGATTAAAAAGTAATTAGGGTAACTGAAGCATTGGGGGTTTTATATCTATGACAACTGCAAAAGACATGTGAGAAATTACAAGATTTTTTTTTAATGACTGTACTTTTACAGGGCTTTTTAAATACATCTATGTTTCAAAAGAGGTTTCTATTGGGTTTTGCAGCAAAGATGATGTTCTCTGGTCATTCCGTGCTTCAGGACAATGGTACTAAGCCGGCCCTCCCACCAGTTATTTTCAGAAGCTAGCAGGGAGAACACACAAGAATTTGCAATTCTGTCAAATCAGAGAGAAAGGAGGAGAACAAAAAGCATTGCAGTGCCCTCAGTGTCAGCTTTCCAGACAACCCCAGAGCTCAGCACCAACCCCACATCTTCCCCGTGTCAGGCACTGCAGAGCCGGATGTCTCACCTGTAAGACAGTGACGGTAGCACACACGTGCACATACACACACACACACACATACACGCACACACCATTATTCTGTCATGGGTCTAGTGAGGAGGAAAGAGCTGTCCTGTCCATAGGTCCTCGAATCCAGCAAGGCATCTGAAGCCTGGGTAGCACACTGTAGTGTTTCCCTTGCTTGCACTCAGCCTCCTGAGAACCTTGAAAAGAGAGGAGCCCACTGAGGCGTCCCCACTGCTTTGTTCTGAACCCACCCTTGCTTTGGGAGCATTTCTCTAACACAAGCAAGGCCCTAGGTTTCAACCCAGCACCTGAGAACAGAGGAGGAGGGAGAGTAGAGGGCAAACACAACATCAAGGATTTGGACAGCCTCCTGTGGTCACAGCTTCCCTCACACATGCAAGCGACAGATGATAGCTCCCAGACAGGATTAGCAGTAGGCATATCTACAACTGGGCATGGGAAATGGAAATGATAAAATGCTTAGTAATTGCTGTTTGGTTTTGGGTTTGTTTGTTTTTTTTTTTAACTGTCACCCAGACTGCTTCCATATACAGCACTTGGCAAGAGCGGCTGATCCAGGATATGACTATTTTAGGTTGATGATGGTGATGGTTATTAAATGAAAACATTCCTTCCAGACATGGTGTACTTTGCTGTGGACAGCACATTGAACTGCTTTGAATATTGCTGCATAGAACATTGTAGAGAAAAAGAAGGGCAACTGGTTCCCAGATTAACTATCCTGGATCTAAAATGTGTTGATTCTCAAAGGAAAACAATGATCATTTGTGTCATGTCTTCTAGAACATAATTGCCGAACATGAAATTCGTAATATCTCCTGTGCTGCCCAGGACCCAGAAGACCTCTCAACATTTGCTTATATCACAAAGGATTTGAAGTCCAACCACCACTACTGTCACGTGTTTACTGCCTTTGATGTGGTGAGTCCCCTGCTCTTTGGATGGATGGATGGATGGATGGATACATACATACATGGGGTCATAGATACATAGAGATGTCAGTTTTGCTCATGCTGCTGTGACAAAACATTACAGTCCACATAGTTTAACCAACAGGAATTTATCCCCCATGTTTTTGGAGGCCATAAGCCAAAGGCCAGGGTTAGAATAAGCGTGGTTTCTTCTGAGCCCTTTCTCCCTCCAACATGTGAGGGCATCTTCTCATCAGCTCGTCCTATGGCCTTCCTTCCACAGAGATGCCTGTGTCCAGATTCTCTCCTCTTGTGAGTCACACTGGAGCAGGGCCCACACTAATAACCCGTCTTAACTCGATCTTCTCTGGCAGAGCTCTGTCTTCCAATCCCATTACACTCCAAGGTACCAGAGATTAGATCTCCAAGTGGGATTTTTGAGGTGATCACAGTTCAACCCATAAAGCCAAATAAGAAGTACTTTTTAGCAGGCTTAATTTCTTGAGTTTTCCATACTGACAGTCTCCCACTTGAGGTTGAACTCTTTTTGAACTTTTCTGATACCTCAGCTGTTGACACTCAACTATCAACTTCCGCTTTCCAGATTTAAGAAATCCCTTCCATATTCTGGTACCAAAAATGCAGTAAGATCTTCCAGCCTCCTATTCCTTTGTTATCTCTGCAGGTTTCTCCAGTGGCCATTTCTCAGGATTAGGCGTGATAAAAATGTTTACCTCTGTAAAAGCCAGCTTTCTTTACTGACTAGTAGTCAGATTAGATACTTTACAAATACCAGTTGGGAGACCCAAGCTTTGGCCTCTATGCTCACTTCAAAGTGAGTCTTAAAATTACTTCCTTGCGGAGTGACACCATGCATACCTATATTTGTCATTAAGCCTAAAAACCAACTTAGTACAGGCTTAGAAAATGAAAACAACTTAACAATGCACGCTGCTTTAAGATATGCATTCCCTTGAGATGACACAAGTTGCCTCTGAGATAGAATCCTGGCCGTTCTGCAGTTGAAGCCAACAGAACAGTTGTGACTGTAAATCCGAAATAATTTACAATCAGAAGAAGTTGAGATACTACTTTAGTTTTACTTTTTTCTTCCCTGCTCACTAGATTTTAAATAAACAGATTTGGAGGATTAACAACAACAACAAAACAGTGTAACTTATTTTGGGAATTCCAGTATAGTTCAGTGTGGTGGATACAATACTATTCCATCTGCGGCATTTCTTCCAGTTCTAACAAACTCCACAGACCAAGTCCAGCCATGTCCCAAATTTGCACCATGCCAGGCTCACACTTAACAGCTTTTATATCTTGCTGTGTGCTACTCAGGCTTTTAGGATTTGATGATTGAAAATTGGAAAGGAAGCATGTGGGCTTTTAAAATAACCCCCTTCTGTTTCAGGAAAGATGAGGAGAATAATGCAAAAATGGTGTGTGGTCAGGACCAAAAAGGAAAACTCTCCAAGGCTGCCTTAAGTATCTCCAAATTCAGTTGTTTGCACAGACTTACAGTGTTGATTAAAGTCATTCCATTTGGGATTTACAGTATGGATTTTTGATGCCAGGAATGTCTGTGTAACCTGCCATTCTTGTGGAATTCAGTTGTTTTTTTTAACAGTCAGGTTTCGTTTTTTGTTTTTCTGCAAGTAATTAGGTTTTCATGACACACTTTCCTCAATGGGAGCTGGACTGGTGGTAGAGAAAGTGCAGGCAGATTCAGCTTCACCCCCCAGATCGGCTGCCTCCTTGGTTCATGATCTTAGACTTTATGGAGCCCCAATTTCCTGATGCATACAATGGAGACAAGGATTTGCAGGACTGAAGTGAAAGTGTTCATATAGAGCCCCTCATAAATAACAGAGCTTCAGTGCTGGCTGGCTCCTCCCCCCCCCCCCCCCCCCCCCCCCCCCGCCTGACATCAGCCGACAGCTTGTCCCTTTTCTACTAAATGACATGAGATAGGCTTTCCAGGGAGCATCCATCAGGCAGCATGTCCCCTCTGCCACTGCCAAAGTAGAAACAGACGAAAAGTGAAGTAGAAACACTGGGAAGAACACACTAGTTCACCAGGCCTGGTGGCCCCTAAGCTGTTTTCATCAGCTTATGTTACTGCTCCTCCATCACTTAAAAAAAAAAATTACATTATTCGGATTCTATATGATCTTGTTTCACAAGACTACCAAAAGCTAAACTAAAACCAGCGCCTGTGGACGTTTGGCCCTGTGGGTGAGACCAGAAAATGGAAGGACAGGTGGGGGCGGAGGAGATAATCAAGCCACCACTGTTTAGTTTTCTGATCAGTGTGTCTTGATAAATTCGGAGGACATGTGGCAAATTGCTGCAGCTTCTTTATCTTTCCTCCAGATGTCTGGCTTCACGTAGACACTCACAAGCTTGATGTTCTTGTATCTGTTCCAAAGGATTTTCGTTTTACACAAATCTGGGGTCTTAATCCTCTCTAAGTGAACACAGTTTGTCTAACTTCAAAAATAGTAACTAAGACAGTCAGCCTGGACCTGGACCTTGAAGCAATTCTGAGACACAACAGCTTTGCTTGGGGGGTGAGGGGGTAGTTTGCTTCTTTGTATCTTTATATAGGGCCATTCCATATTTTGTCCAATTTTAAGGCCTTACAATTCCTTTGAGGCAGTCCCCTGAGTTACTCCAAATAACAAAAGAAAGTAACAAACTCCTTATAACAGTTCAAGGGCTTGTTTAACCTTCCAGGCAGGATGAATGAGTGCTCTGTTTTTCAGTTTAAGGTTATCAGCTCTTTGGCCTTGTAGACTGTCTGTGGGCAGCATCCTGTCATCACAATACCACATGGCTTTATCTGCCATCAAGGAAACCTCAGTGATGTGTAGGAATCTTCCAGTTTGTAAAATGGCTAGGAACATTTCCATGTAGCAATCCTGTGGCTCAAAGGGGACTCCAAAGCCGTCCTATGAGAGCTAAATTGTGAATTCCACATAGTTTGCCACCCATAGGACACTGTGACACACCGGATGTGGGCAGCTTGAAGGAAGGAGTGGAGTGTGCTGTTTCCCAGGCTCACCTGGTCCTAGGCCACTTTTGGAGAGTGCTCCACTGCATTAGCATTTCTGGTTTGGGAAATGTTATGTTGGGTGACCTCTGAGCCTCTTCCAGTTATTTCCACTGACATTAAATTGACCTTTTAACATTTTCACCTTCAAATGACATGGAGGTGAAAATAAAAAGAATAGAGTAAAACAAAATGAGAGTTATATATCAGTCACTCTGATTTAAAAAGAAAAAAAACCTCAGAGAATGAAGGGTTCACCGCGGCTCACAGTGTGTCATGGGCAGTTGGTGTCACCGCGTCTGCCGTCAGGAATCAGAGAGAGGTGGGTGCTGTTCTTAGCTGGCCCCCCCGTTTATGTTGTCTGAGACCCCAGTCCATGGAGCCTGACCCACATCCACAGGGAGTCTCCCTCCTCGGCTGAACCCATCCCGAAAACCCCTCACAGACTCACCAGGGATGCACCTCCCTGCTCGGGTCTAAATTCAATCAAGCCGAAAGCAAAGCTTAACCGCATAGACTGGTGCCTTAAGTTACTTTGCTCCTTCGGGGCAGCCCATGCTGCCCAAGCCGTGTTTTACACTCTGTGCCCACAGTATTGTGGAATCTGATTTCTGTTCATCTCATGTACTAGCTAGGCCTGGAACTCATCTCAGTCTCTGTAGATGGGGTTTCCCAAATGCCACTTGAGCAGTGACATTGAAAAAGAAGAAGCAATTGAGTGTTGATAGAAAAGGGGTATCTGTCTGAAGCTTACAAATACATTTAGCTTTATCCCCTTAACTCCTAACTCCCATGAGTGATGGGGGACTGTAAGATTGTGGCCATGGACTCCCCCAACTCTAGTCATCTTCCTAATGAGGCCTCGGGAGTAGCAACACATATAACCGGGGGAATTTGGAGGTGTGTCCTCTCTAGTCACTCAGCAGCAAACTGATGTAGGTAGATTAGAAATATATCGATGTACTCCCTATGGGAGTATCAGATTCATTTAAGAATCTGGCAAGGTCTTCATTCAATCATATTAAATGTTAAAATACTTTCTCTTGTGCCAGACTAGGCATGGAACTTGGATCCATGTGCATGCTACGCAGGCACTGTGCCACTGAGCTATAGACTCAACACTTAAAAAAAAAAAGAAAAGAAAGAAAGAAAAAGAAAAAGCTTTACCTTTTCCACTAGACCAGTGGTTCTCAACCTGTGGGTCGTGACCTCCATTGGAGATCAAATGACCCTTTCAGAGGGTTTGCATATCAGATGTTTATTTATTCATAACAGCAACAAAATTACAGTTATGAAGTAGCCACAAAGTAATTTTCTATTTGGAGGGGTCACTATAGCACAAGGAACTGTATTTAACAGGCACAGCATTAGGAAGGTTGGGAATACCGTCTAGGCCCTTGCTGGCTCTCAGTTCTCTTTAAGGAATGTGCTCGCAGCCTCCAGCATATTTAGCCATGCTTGTGCTCATTCTCTTCTGATGTTCGGTCCTCTTCCCTGTGCAGAGTGTGGGAGGGCTGAGATCGGCTTGGGAGCACATAGGGTTGTGGAAGCCACGGTGCTGCAAGTCAGCACATGTGTGGGATGGAGCTCCCTCTTCCTTGAGATTTTGTGGTTTACTGTGGGCTCCACAAGCATCTAAACCAGAGGGGCAGAAATGGCAATGTGCAGGAAATATGGCCGCCGACTGTAGCAATACTACTCCACCATGAGCAGATGGCAAGCGAGCCGAAACACAAGATGCTCACATACCGAAGTCAACCCTGTTGTAACAGGGAATGGGGCGCATCCGGGGTGGGTGGAAGAGAAGACCGGATACTGGGAAGGTTTAAACCAGCTTCTGCTCTAGCTCCTCCTTCACCACAGATGGGTAGGACCTGTGTACTGGGAAGGTTTAAACCAGCTTCTGCTCTAGCTCTTCCTCCTTCACCACAGATGGGTAGGACCTGTGT